TAAACTGTAAAAATAAGGTTGAATACTTTCTGGTGGGTGTTCCAAGATTCCTTCCAGAGCTTACTCCTTTCTTTTTCAATTATTGCTACCTCTCAGGCCTTCACATGTCTGCCTGGCCCACTGCTACCGCCTCTAATCTGGGCATCTCTCCAGTTGCTAAAGCCCAAGAACCATCAGAGATCTGCTGTGGATGAATTGTTCCTGGATTTCCACACCTGTTCTCAACTTTGTTGCCTGTCTATTCAATTGCCCACAGTTCCTTATTTCCCCCCAGCTTTTGGCATCCTGTGTGGGTCTGAGTATCTATCATGTAGTGAGTAAAGGAAAAAATCCCAAGGTACTTGGAAGGGACTTATTTTGCTGATAAAGGAATGAAGACTTAAAAAGATCTGTAGGCTAAGGCAGCAGAGGCTGGATTAGAACCTAGGTCTCCATATGTCCTGTTTCAGGCTCTCTACTCTACTGCCTTTACCACCTCTGAGACTCACTGCACCTAGAGTCAGTAGCACGCTGGTTAGTTTTAAATTCTTTGGGGATTTACTAGAGAGAGTGAGATTAGGAATCAGCACTTGGAGGCAATCTACCTTCTAACTCTATGGCCTCTGGCAAGTCCCTTAGCCTGTCTACCTCTGCTTTTTCATCTGTGAAGAGAGGATAATAAAAGCTGGCTTTCTTATTTTCTAGTCCTGGCCCTGGTTGTCACTGTGGGTGATATTCAGCTATGCTGTTGCAAAATTCAAATGAGCACATAGACTTTAGAGTGCTTTGTAAATACTGTTATGTGCTAATAGACTGATAAGAAAAAACGAACTACCGTTAGAATTCTTCTGAGTCTTAATAGTGCCTTTCTCTGTGCTGGACACATGGTAAGGCTCTCCATGCATGTGGGGACAGGAGGTACTGTTGAGGTGTATGTGAGAACATCTCCATGTAGACATATGTAGGTGCCCCTGATATATAAAATGACATCTTCTGAGCTTGACAGATAGATTGTGAATAGCCTCCAAAGTTCACGGGTGTGTTGAGCACTGATAATGTCTGCCACATGTTTCTTTGGATATGAGTTATCTGAAGTTGGGGTGGCTGGACCAAAATATTGCTAGAAGTTCCTTTTAGTGTCAGGAGTCCATGAACCTATGTCCACATGGGTCACAATCTGTCCCTTCCAAGTTTAGACACTATCTTTGACTGGAATTACTTAAAAAGATTCAAAATTAGGCAGCAGGGCAGGGATGCTGGGGGGAGGGGATGTTGGTGGTGGTACAGGATGAAGGCTGGTGTGGAACAGAGGGTGAGATTTCTATTTTCAGGGCTAGGAGATGGGAAGAGGGTAAAAAGATCTACTAAGGGTATTCCCTCAAGGACTGGGGCGGTTTGGTTTGACTCTAACTCAGAAGAGGAGGGATGGACAACATGACCGATGACACTTCATGTCTCTTCCAGGCCTCTGAATTTTGATCAAGTGAACAGAGAGGCCTTATGGTGGATGGATTGGCCGACTTGCTGGTTTTCTCAAAGGTGGGGATGACAGAGGATGCTTTGAAGGCTGGAGCAAAAACAATACAGTCAGCTCACCTTACCCCAACCCCCCATATTTTCACCACTGGAACTTTTAAATTTTTATTTATTTAATTTTTTTACATTACAGAAGCCAGTAAAATAACTTGACATGATACCAGAGCACATGGAGAAAAAACTGAAAGTCCTTTTCCATTACAGAGGGAATGACAGCGTGGGGCCTGTCCTCCAGGACTGTTTCATCTCATATGCATGTCACACCATCATCACTTTCTAAATTTAGCAATATGTGCTGTACATATTTTTGTGTCAATACATGCTTCTTTTAAAACAAAAATATGCTTTTTATTAAAATTACTGTGCTTACACAAAACATGAATTACTTATATTTGCATGGCAGAGTTAAAAACTACTAATTTTAGAATATAAAATAAGAAAGACACTTTGGCATAACTTATGATCATTCATTTATTATTATTGTCCCCCCCCTCTGTAAGGTGCTCCCAGTCTTTGGACGATACAGGATTTTCCCACCCTGGTGCTCTATGCTTAGCTTTCATGAAATGCTTTCTTCTTAATTCTTTGCGAGAAGGAGACACTTCTCTGGTTTTAGCTTCAAGCAATTTTTTTTTTTTTTTGAGGAGAAATGATATTGCAGTTCATGTACAAAGCCAGGAAAGTTCTCCCTGTTATGTAAACTTCAATTATTGTCTTTACTTCATCAGAAGAATGTTTTTCTTTCTAAAAACTTTCCCTGTGGGGGCCGGCCCGGTGGCGCACTGGATAAGTGCGTTGCTTGGGAAGCGCGGCGGCGCTCCCGCCCGAGGGTTCGGATCCCACATGCAGACCGGTTCCCGCTCACTGGCTGAGCGAGGCGCGGGAGCGACCCCGAGGGTTGCAATCCCGTTGCTGGTCCCCGGTCCGGTACGGGGGCAACACTGAGGGTTGCGATCCATTGCCAGACACGGAAAAAGACAAAAGACAAAAAAAAAAAAAACTTTCCCTGTGTATTTTTATACCATCCTAGTACTAGGCCCTATAGAGTATTTTGAAAACATCTAGCAGTTTCACTGGCCTCCTCTGTAGATGACAAATTTCCTTTCATAGGCCATGCCTTCTCTTATCAATTAATCCACAGATTGCTTGAACATCAATGATCTACTCAGCACTCTGCTTGGTGTTTGGAGGACACAGTGTAATATAGGACGTGGATCTGTCCTTAAGGAGCTGTAATTGCGTTGGGGAGAACAAAAGCGGGTGCAAGGAATACAGACAAGATTAGGACGGTGTCCTGCTGTGCAGGCCACACTGTTTCCGAGGGGATTAAGAGCAAGCAGTGGGAGGCACGAGTCACCTGAGTGAGAGACTGTGGCTGAGAGATAAAGATTGGGTGGAGAGGCCAGGAAGGAATGACAGAAAGCCTTGCACACCTAACACAGGTCTAGATTTGATATAGTGATGGACAGAAAACCATTGGTGGCCTTTGGAGGATGAAATGACACAGGGTAGACATTAGTCCAGGAGGTCAGTGGGGTGCTGTAGACAGCACTCAGCTGGGGAGGAGCACAGGGCTCAGAGGCTGTTTCAGGAGTGCTGATGGGATGGCCTGGGGCCTGACAGGGGAGGCAGCTACCTGCAAAAACACAAGAGTGTGGGTGTAAGAGAGTCCATCGGAATGTTCAGTGGGACCCGGGAGACATCTGGATTTGGAGAATGACCGTGGTACCTCTGTTCGACTGGGCAATATTCTCAGACACCTTAAGGGTTACCTGCTGCCCTTTTCAAACAATTAATAAGCATATCAGGTAAGGTCAGTCTTCTCAGACTTCCAACTTCTTGGCCAGGGAAGTGTCTGAAGTGGTTCACAGAATAAATTCTAGAAATGGCCACTATAGTGTATGAAACAGACTATCATTCTGTTGACAATTCCTTTCCGGACTGCCTTAGTAGTATCACCTTGTTGGTAAAATCTTGGGTTCCAGTACTCACTGCAAACAATGTATCTATCTGGTTTCCCTTCCTTAACAGAATCTCCAACTTCACTAATTATCTGTGCATATAAATTAAACAGAATGCCCAATATAAATAATGGTACTTTGCCATTAAACATAAAAACAGGGAGATGGGAAGAGGGTGGTCAGTGGATACAAAATTGTGGGGGGATAGAAAGAACAAGATCTACTGTTCTACAGCAATATAGGGAGACCACAGTCAACAACACAGTCCTGTGTATCTTTGAGTAGCTAGTCGAGATGATGTTGAATGTTCCCAATACAAAGAGGTGACAGATGTTTGAGGTGGTGGATATACTAAGCACCCTGATATGATCATTGCACACAGTATGAATGTACCCAAATATCATATTGTACTCCATAAATATATACAATTATCATGGGTCAATTAAGAAAAAATAAAATTTTTTAAAAAACAGAAAGTAATAGAAAGTAGAACAGTGATTACCAGAGGAAAGAGGGTGGGGGGAGGGAAGGGAGGCTGGAGAAGGGTTGGTAGACTGGTACTAAGTTACAAAGTCACAGTTAGATAGCAAGAGTAAGTTCTGGTGCTCTAGGTGACAACAGCTAATAATATTGTATCGTATATTTCAAGATAGCCAGAAAAGAGGATCTTGAATGTTATAACCACAAAGAAGTGATAAATGTTCAGGTGACAGGCTAACTATTCTGATTAAATCATTATATACTATGTGCATGTCTTGAAACAACAAATCGTACCCCATAAACATGTACAATGAAAAAAAAATTTTTAATTAAAAAAATAAGAACAAAACATGCTACTTCTTAATGCTTCTTCTCATAAAACGTGATGAAACGTTCTCATGTTTCTGTGGGTGGGGCTGTGAGGATCAGCTCGTGCACTGACACGTAAACGTGCCGTTCCTACCGATGAGTGAGTCAGGAAGGGGCACTGGCTTTGGGAACAGGTGTTTGATGACACCTTTGTTTGTGTTGTTCCGAAGAACATGCTGGCAGGGTGCTCTGACTGGTACCAACACCCCGCTTCTAGGGTGTAACGAACCCCAATTTGACTTTACAATCCCAGACTTATTTTTTTAAATAGAATCTTTAAAAAACTAGACCCATACTCCAATACAAATATAGTTTATCTAAAAAGGGGGGCAAACATTTTGTTTTAATTAACATTTTAAATATATTTCAATTGAAGTCAGTAAATTTTAAAAAATGCAAACTAGTCTGTCTCCCATTTCCTGATCCACATGAAAATTTTCTCCCATCTGTCTTTAATCCATTTTCTATAAGCAACTTAGATACTCTTTTACCTAAGCTTCAGCCTTTCTCCCCAATCCAAGGCCAATCATATTCCACGCTGACCATTGCTATCCACCTTCCTCCCAGCCCTTGACCCATCCCTAAAGATCTCCCTGGCCCCACAGCCAGGCCTTCAGCATGAGAAGGTTGGGGGGGTGCTAAAGGACAGAGGGGCATTCTGATGTCCCCACCTTCTCATGCTGGTGTCCTCTTCCCCGTTAGCACCCTCTTCAGGGCACCCTGCACATCAGGGTTCCGGAGGCTGTAGATGACTGGGTTAAGCATAGGAGTGAGGACAGTATTGAGGATCCCAATCCCCTTGTCCTTGTCTGAGGCTGAGACTGAGCCCAGACGCATGTAACTGAAGAAGGCCGTTCCATAAAAGATACAGACCACAGTGAGGTGGGAGCCACATGTGGAAAAGGCCTTCTTTCTGCCCTCAGCTGAGCAGATTTGTAGGACTGCAGCTGCCACGTGGGCATAGGACACTGAGATAAGGATCATGGGAATCACCCCCATGAAGGTGGCCCCCACAAAAAGCAGCTGCCCATTGAGGTGGATGCTGGAGCAGGAGAGCTGGAAGAGGGCTGGGAGATCACAGTAAAAGTGGTTGACCACATTAGGGCCACAGAAGTCCAGCACAGACACAGCCACCGTGTGGGTCAGAGCATTGATGAAGGAGATGGTGCAGCAAATGCCCACCAGGCCACCCTGGACTTCACGGTTCATGTGGGTGCTGTAGGTGAGGGGCTGGCAGATGGCCAGGTAGCGGTCATATGCCATGGCTGTCAAGAGGTGACAGTCCACACCAGCCAGGAGGTGGAAAACGAAAAGCTGTGAAATGCAAGCGGCATAGGGAATTCTGCACTGGTGGGCCAGGAGACATACCAGCATTGGGGGAACAGTGACACTGATGCACCCAATGTCCAGCAGAGACAGGTTCCCGAGGAAGTAGTACATGGGGGTGTGCACTTTAGGCTCCACAAAGACAGCAACCAGGATGCTGAAGTTGCCCCCAACTGTGACTATATAGGCAAAGAGAAAGATGGCAAAAAGGATGGGTTGCAGTCCTATGTTCCCTGTCAGGCCAAGAAGTATGAACTCGGTGACAGCTGTCCTGTTCTCCCAGGCACCTGGCTCCATAGGCCACCGCCGAGAGCTGTAGTGGGAAGAGAAGACTTGGACCTGCCAAAAGGGGGAGAGTGACACATAGTAGGCATTTAATCTATGTCTACCGGGTGCTGGGGAAACACCTAAGAACTGGAACAAACGCCACTCTGGAGGTTGACTAGGCTCTTGGCAGCCCTTACTGTGCCAGGCATTGACCCTTTAGTTGCTGGTTCAGGGAGAGATCCAGGGAAGGGGCTGGGGCAGAAGGAACTGCTCTGGGTACTCAGGACAGTCGCCATTTACCAACATGCTGTAAGAGAGTTTCAGTATTTTAACTATTATTAATACCGTATTAGCATCTCTAACTAGTTCAATGAATAAATGAACATAAGAGGTTCTAGAAAGCACAGTGTAGGAAGAGTAGCAACACAAAGGAGAAGAGCGGAGGCCAAGACCCCACGAAATCAAAGAGAGATGAAAAAGAGTAAGGAAAGAGAGAAGCAAGGAGCAGGACAAAGACAGAAATACACGGAGGAATGAAGGCGATTTAGGAAAATACTAACATTTTCCAAGTGTATACAATTTGTATTGTGTAAGCACTTTGTATTTATTCTGTCACTTATTTCTTATAAACTCTATGGGGTAACTTCTATTATCTCTATGGAATTGGGACACTGAGGATTAGAAAAGTTAAATAAGAAGCCCAAGGGTGTGAAGCTCTTGTCAGAGCTGGGTCTCGAACCTGGGACTGTCTGACTCCAAGCCCACGTTTTAACACATTTTCCTTCTTAAAGAACTTGGACATGTGTTGCTGTTGTGCTTTTATAAATGACACTGTGGATGATAAAGAGAAAAATGTATTCCTAAGGCTTAAGTGTTCCTAAGGCTTAATCACAACTACTCAAGGAAACCAAGATACCATCCATCCGTCCTTTCATTCAACAATTAATAGGGTTTCAGATATATTTTGATAATAGAACTGAAAGATCGGGCATGAGATGTGAGAGAAACAAGTTTCAGGGATGATTTCAAGGTCCTTGGCCTGAGCTACCGGAAAAATGGAGTCGCTATTAAGTGATGTGGGGAAGACTGTTGATTTGTGTATGTGTGTGGTTGTGGTGGAAGATCAGGAACTTTTCCTAGGGAAAAGAGGGGAATTAAAGTCTCAGGAAATATTTAGCTAACTTCCACTCTATCACACACATGTTGGAAGTTATGATATTTCCACAGATGCCTGGACAATTGAGGGTTAAACCCATGAAGGCAAAAGTCCTTCAGGTGTGACTTTAACAGATGGCTCTGGAAAAGTACCTTCTTCTGGACCCTTACATATTCTGGGCCACCCTCTCTCGATGGCTGTGCCAGTGCTCTTTTCTATCTAGAACACTCTTCCACTTCCTCACACCAAAACTCCATCCTTAAAGGCTCAGTCTCAGATCATTGTCCTGTCTCCTTAAGAAAGTCCTCCTTATGGAACAGAACTGTGGTAATTAGAGACGGGAAAGGGGGTTAGTGAGAAACTGGTTAAGAATCACAAAGAAGGATGACATTTTGTAAAGATGAGAATACTAATTATCTTGATTTGATCATCATGAATTGTACACAGATATTGATGTTCAACTCTGTACCCACATAATCAATTATGCTTCAATAAAAGAAATAAAAAAGAAAAAGAAAGTGCTCCTTAGGCACCCCAGTCTTTAATTCATCTTTTCTTTCTCTGATGTTGTAGAAAATTAACAAACTGAGTTATTCTAGTACTTGCATATAAGGAAAGGGACATGGAATTGAACCATTAAGAGGAGTAGCTTGCCCAAAGTCACACATAAGGCCACTCAAAATTGATAGCACAAGACAGAGTGTAGGTTATGCTAATAGGCTACCAGGGGAGATTCCACAGTACCCTCGACACTTCTGTCTTGTCCTATTCTAGAAAAGCTATTGGCTATCTGCTGGTCTCACACTCTGTTAAGTCAGTGCTGAACCTCATGGGGAAAAAGACAAGTGCCTTCCTTTGCAGAATTGACCTCCCAACTGGGACCACTACTGATCTGCTCTGTGGGAATCCAGCCACTGGCCCTTCAGACATTGTAAGCGCAGGTTATGTTTTCTATTATGACCCCAGGCTTGGGCAAATTTCAGTTCTATAAGGAGCTGCACTCAGATCCAGAGCATAGTAGCAATGCCTGTCTTGACCTAAACATGTGCCTTGGAGACCCCCCTCCAGAATGTGGGAGGTAGGGCAGGCATCATGGTTTCTCCATCTAATACAGCTGTCCTGGCCAGGGTTCTGTGGAAGCAACAAAGTAGGGAGAAAAGGCACACTTGCCTTCAAGGAGACCACAATCTAGTTTGGCAGGAAGACTCCCCAATGTAGAGTTCTCAGAGAGGTTGAATCTGCCTGGGTTCAGAACAACACAGGCATAACAGAGCTGTCAGATGGACTTGGGGAGGAGACAGTGAAACTAGGAAGACAGAGCTCTCTGGGCTCAGGAAATACAGGACAGGAAATGTCCCAGTGTCACAAAGGAGACAAGACATGCAGGTAACATGACTTCAGATTTCATCAATATCAGCAAATTAAAAAGGGAAAATTAACACATTTCCTTAATAGAGAAAGAGGTCTTGCTGAAAACATGGGAATTCCTACATTCACTAAAATACAAGATAGAGAAAAAATAACAGATTCATAGCCACTCTGCATTGAAAAAGTCTTAGAAAAAGACCTTCTCTGAGCATAGCTGAGGAAGAAAAATGTCACCCACACATACTATGCTAGTTCTTTTCCCTCTGAAGTTAAGTGGATATTCTTGGACAGGTGGTTGGGAGCATCTTGTCTAGGGGCCAGGAAGGCTGGCTGTAATGAAGGAACTAGAAATCTGAAGCAGAGTTATTACTGTGGGTGAAAGAGCCTGAGGATTAATCTTAGCCCTTTCCTTCCTTGTGTAAAAAGCAAACAGGCAATAATCCCTTTCTCATCCATTCTTGCTCCATCATTGGAGAAGATACATTTCTTCTCTTGTGAGCTTTTCCCGTAAAATCTCCCCCTGACTGCTGGGGAGACCCAGCAAAATGTGGCATTTGACGTTAGTGTAGGAGCATTTGACGTTCCCTGGAGATGGTGAAATCAGATGACAGCCAGTGATATGCAACGTTTATCAAGCAATTCTGCTCGATATTTGTCAAGTTATTCTGCCTAAGTTGCTTTTATGTATTACCTCATTCAATCCTTACAAAAATCCTATAAGATAGTTTATAATGATAATAACTAATATTTTTATTCAATCATTTTATATTGAATATTGCTATACTTTCTGTGCTTTAAGAACTTTTGTAACAAGCTGAGATGTTATCTTGAAACAAGCTGAAATGCTATACATTTCAGGCTGTTATAATAATAACTAATTCTTGGTTAGACTTTACTATGTTCTAAGCATTTTACATGTATTACCTCATTTAATTCTCAAAAAACTCTACAAAGTAGGTCCGAGTATAATCTCCATCTTACAGATAGGAAACTGAGGCACAAAGAGGTAAGTTCATTTGCCTGAAGTTATGCAGCCAGTGAGAGGTGGAACTGGGATTCAAACCCAGGCAGCCTGGTGTCAAAGTCAATGCTCTTCAATGCTTCACTCTACTCCTCTGAAAGAGAGTGACTGAGTGGTTTTGATCTGCATAGCTATTAAGTGGGAGCTAAGATCTAAGCCAGGGAATCTGATCAAAGGTGGCAAGGGGACTCATCAGGAATATCCCAACACCTGCCATCCCTGGGCAGACGCACTTTGATGATACAGGTTATTTATTCTGGCGAGAAGACAGAGGGTATTTGTGAGAAACCCTTGTCACCTTAGGAAGTGTCTTCACAGATGGATTTCCCAGTTCAACATTAAGACAATCCCAATCTGTGTTTGAAATCATAGCAGCACAGCATAGTGACAGAGTTCAGCCTTGCTCTGAGCAGCAGCTACATCTTTCTATCCGGGTTAAATTTGTTCACTCCCCACTTCTCCGATCATGTCTCACCCTGCCTGTCCATACAAGGGTCAGTCTAGCCCAGGCCTTCAGGTCCAATTTGCTCTACACAGTAACTTCCATCCACAAAGCCATGCCAAGTCCCTCTCCCTCGTTCTTTTGGTGCATAAGGACAACTCAGCACAGTGGAAAGAGCTCTGGAGTTGGAGTGCAGATGCTTGTGGTATTTGTGTTATTTGCAAGTTTCTACTACAACTAGCATTGAGACCTTGGGGAAAGGAAAAAAGAAGGAAGAAAAGACAGAAGGTGAGAAGGAAGAGAAAACAGCAGCCAAGCATTTATTTGAATATAAACTTTTTGTCAGGTATGTTACTCCACTTTACTCCATTATATGTTAGCCCATTAAATTTTACACAAATTCCCAAATGTAAGTAATCATTTTACAGATGAGAAAAGTGAGCCTCAAAAATTAACTAATTTAAGGTCACATATGTCAGAGTCCGTTCTGAATGGAGAGCTTGTTCTTTTTCTACCAACCCCTGCTGTCTCCCAAGACCCTTACCATATATATGAATATGAATGTGTGTGTGTATATGTATGTATACGTATATATATATTTTCATTTCCCTTGTGTAATATGAAAGGCTGTACTACATTTTCCCTAGATTAACTTAGGTGTATAAGAGTCAATCTATAAATATTGATTTCGTTGTTCTCTCTGCCAGGATCAACCTCAATAGCCACCTTGGCTCTCCCCGGACTCTCTCTGTGTCTCTGCTCTTTCTCCCAACCAGTCCCTTCTGACTTTCTTCTAAGTATGTGCCAGCTCAGTTCTGCATTCTTCCAACCACGTACAGTGAAAAACCTCATCCTTGTATTTCACTACCACTCCCTGAATCCAAGCATCACCCAGTCTTTCATTCTCCTATCAACCAGAAAAAAGCCATGTGAAGATTATGAGTAATTTTCATCCACCTTTGCTCAAGAAGGAAGGGAATAGGAGGCTCGGAGCAGTGGGAAAGCTCATGGGGGACTCACCTTCCTGTGTGCACTCTGGACCC